TAGCCCCTGACTGAGCCTGGTGAACTAGCCCCCGACTGAGCCTGGTTTCTCCCAAGGTTTTTTTCTCCATTCTGTCACCTGAGTTTTGGTTTCTCAACAGTATCAATGCTGAAATGAATCTGAGTACAAGTAAGACCTCTAAGTTGTTTACGATCATTATTATTGTAATGTTATGTGCTTTGAGGCATGAGGTAATTTAACGCTGTCTCTTGTCTCGTGACGCTTTGCAGTCTCTGCTGTGTGCGTTCATGTGTTTTGAAGGAGGCGTGGCTTTGGAGACAGTGGTATTTCAGAAGGGGAGGAAGGGGAGGGTGGTATTTCATGTTTCAAAGCTAATTTGCTATTGCTAGCCTCTCCGAAATTGCCTACCCTACCTTTAAGTAAAATGTTATGCATGTGTTTTTACTATCTTTAAATTAGTGTGAGGTTTTATTTATATATAAACATAATATCTGTTGACAAATACCCTCATTGCCTTGTATCTTTTCGGTGTCGCAATATACCGGTGTTGACGATAATCGTGATATTCAAATCATGAAATATCGACATCGTGTTAATTTAGAGTGTGGCGATATACCGGTATTGGCGATAACCACGATGTTTAAAATGAATAGGACTGTTATGATAACATGACACGTAAATACTCCAGCGCGAGTGCCTGATTGACGTCTCAGCTGTATTGCACCCGCTGACACCTATCAAACAAGAAGACGCAGCCCGGGCCGCGCAGCTGTCTGAGCGAAAGAGAGTGAAACACTCTGTCCACACCCGAAAAAAGTAAGCTCGCCTGAATGGGAGTTCTTCGGCTCAAAAGAAAACAGCACTTTATAGGGGCTCGCACACCGGACGAGAAGCGCAGCGCCACGTCTTTAAAATTCGAACACATTTTCTCTTCGAGTGTAGGCTACACACACCGGTTGTGCCATTCGGCGTCTGTCCGCGGCGCCCAGCTCTTGTACAAAATCCTGCCGCGACACAGAGCGCCATTTACATAGTTTTATATTAGGCTAAATTTACATTATATTTGTCGCAGATCATCGTAAATGATTTCACCCTGTGCGGCAATGCACATTTAGTTTTACATTAATTTACAGAAATCAGCTGCTTGAATGAAAATTGCTGATGTTATCGGATTTTCAGGTGATATTCTCAATTCATTCAGTTAATTGATGCTCTGAGGTAAAGTGTTCAGATCACAGACTCAGCAACTATTGTATTTAATTGTACAGTACAACCATAACATAGTACAGACATTATCTTAATTTCATAATCTCCTTAAACATAAGAATACGCTGGCTGTCCATACACTGAGAAAGTGCGCGTCCGGTGTGCGATACCTCGAGTTGTCCTACACGCGACGCAGCGCTGCAGAATGTGTAGCCACCAACCTTTTTACCCATCTCCGTGTCCATCACCCTGCGGATTACACAATTTTACAGAGAATTGCGATTATTTTACTAGTCATAGAATGGGAAATGTGACATTAACCTGTTAACAGGGGGTTCCTGTGTTCATACATTTAATAAAGGTTGATTATTAAGAACCATCTTATTTTTGTATTTGTATTTGCACTTGATTTTTTTGTTTGTACCCTTATGTTTGTTGGGTAAAAAATAAAAACTATATAAACAACGTAAAAATTAATTACCCCCCCCCCCCCCCCCCCCCATATATTCTATAGATATCGCGAATTATTTTGGCCACAATAACCGTGGTGTGAAAAATCTAACATCGTGACAGCCCTACATCTAATGCTACAGCACAGGAGACCAGACAACTCAACATACACTAAAAAAAAATTTGAAGTTGTAAATAAAATAAAGATTATAGGAGTATTTTTTCAGGAAAATAATATTTCAGTCTTTCTACTTCAAAATTTCAAATTTAATTCAATGTTTCTCTGTAATTATTTATGAAATTTAACTGGCAATTTCTTAGTTATAATTGTAATCCTACAACATTTCCCCCCCCCCCAGTATAGTATGTATGATATGGAACAATGTCAGCATTTACAGTACTACACATACTGTACGCTAATGTTCAAATGTTTGGAGTCATATTTATATTCAGCAAGGATGCATTTCATTGATCAAAAGTGACCATAAATGCATTCATAATATTACAAAAGATTTCGATTTCAAATCAATATAGTTGTTTTGAACTTTCTGTTCATCAAAAAATCCTGAAAGAAATGTATCACTGTTTCCACAAAAATATTAAGCAGCACAACTGTTTTCAGCTTGATGATAATAAGAATACATTTCTTGAGCAGCGAATCCGCAAATTAAAAGGATTTCTGAAGGATTGTGTAAAACTCAAGGCTGAAGTAATGATGCTGAAAACTACATTGGCACTTCATGTGTAAATGTAATTATAGTGGGGTTTTCCGTGTGTTTATGATATTGATATTGTCCATGATGCTTGATAATGAACTTTGTGTACATAGTTTTGGTTAAGTCGTATTTGATAATGATTCTTTGGAGTGTTGAATTTGACGGCACAGACCTGTCATTGGCTGCAGAAAGCAATCCCAGCCTTAAAATTAGTGTTACATCTGCAGACTTGCCTCTCACTGCCTGAAAATGTTACCCCACACAGGGTTCCAGACTGCGACAAAAATTGAGAATGTGCGAGTTAGAATTTGATGTGGTCGCATTTGTGCGAGTGCACTCAGTTAAATTCGCGCGTGCGCAACAGAATGTCGTTGTATCCGTAACTGCTGCAGTCCGTAACTTTTTGTGTTCAAAATGAACAACATGTATATAATGAACGAGTACATCATGAATCCATTTTCCAAACCGTGTTTTTGTCTTATCCGCTGCGGAGTAGCCCAGTACCTGTATGACTCCACTGCATGGCACGGTTCGACTCGCTTCGCTTTTCCACTGCGTGGTACGACTCGACTCGGCACGGCTCGGTTTGCTTTTCCACTGCAGTTAGTACCGCTTCAAAGTGGGTGGGATTATAGACTGATCGTTAGTTTATCCGCTCCTCTGCAACCAACGAGAGGAACGTCTGCACTTCGTCCACTGACCACGATTCAGCCATTTCTTTTTTGGATGTTTTTTTTCTTTCTTTTTTTCTTCAAGCAAGTAGTTTTAAAACAGGTGCTACAGCTGTTACTGGCTATTTAAATCTAGCGGGTTTGATGTCTCGCAAATACAATGACGCTGGTAGTGACGATTCTGTCAGACCAATCAGTGATCTGCAGTGTTTTCAGGTCACATTTTAGTATCGGTACGGTACGCTTGGAACCTCAACAGAGGTGGTACCATTTAAAGCGAACCGTACCGTACCACACAGTGGAAAAGCACCACAAAGTGAGCCGTATCGAGCCGAGCCGTACCGTACCATGCAGTGGAAAAGTGCCGAAGCGTGCCGTACCGAACCGTGTTCCATTATATACGCCAGCTGGAAAACCTCCGGTGAAATGTCACTTGCTGGTGTGTTGGTATCTTCAATGTCCTGAGGTTGCTTTAACAGCATAAATATTGTAATACTTATTTTATAATCAGAATATAGTCACATAAAGCTCCAGTCCGTAACTTTTTTGGGTTAAAAAATATCCAAAATAAATTAGTACATAACCAGCCAGTGTTCAAAACTATCTGCTTGCCTTAGCTCGATTCAAAACGGTAAGCTTGTAATAATGTTTTTAATTCCAGTGGTACTGGTGGTGTCACGGTGTGGTGTAGGTAGAAGAAAGGCGAACAGGCAAAAAGCTCCAATATAAACGTTTACTCACAACAATGTACACTAGGTACAGAACGGGTAGAAGGCTCACACACCAATTACAACGTAAACATTAACGAGAACGGACCAAGACTGACTGAACAGAAGGGAACTAAATACAAAAGGTGATGACGAGACAATGACAGACAGCTGTGAGGAACATAAGTGTCCATGGTGAATAATGACATGCAAAAAATTCATGAAAATTATTATGTTGGTCATACTTCCAAAAAGTAGAATCTGTGATTCCGAATGACAGTATCCACACCGGCGTGGCGACTGACAGCCGCACATTCTCCTCACAACATTGGATTCATCCGCACTGTGCCGTGCCGAGGCACAACTCACGTAAAGTTGTATTTAGTGTGTACTTTAGTTAGATTTATTAAACAAAACTGTGTCGAAATCAGTGAGCTTGCGCTGGCAGCGCTGCACTGACTGACAGTTATTGTTTATCATGAGACTTTTGTGAATACTTGATACTTCAACTTGACAAAGTTTATTTTTAAACCTAGTGAATTTATCATATTTATTGCATTGGTATATATTTATAGTTTTTGGTCATCACATTAAAAATAACACTTGAAGTGCTGAAAAAATGTTGTGTGTGCGTGTCCAATTACAGGCATCGCGTTTCTTATTCCAACATTCACATTAGCTTCAAGTCTTTATTGCAATCAACTGCTTCATTGGCAAATTAGGAAAGTGTGATAACGGCATTAAAATATAAATACAACATTAAAAGTCAACCATTGATGGTTTTGTGTGGATGTACAGTGAGTAGCCTACATGTTCACCGGAAATGCCCGAGCTGGCTTATCGAAAACCAGGAAGTAACTGTGCATATTAATCCATTAGGAATTCAGGAAATTTAGGAATTAAGCATATAAAAATGAAAAGATTGAGACAACTATTCATCAGCATGCATTGATTAATCCTATGTTGTAGCAAAACCAGTGGAAAAGTTTGTCTGGAGCCCTGACCCCACAGCAAACATATTAAGGTTGATGTAGACCATTCATCTGCTGGAATTATGACACATTGAAAGAATTAGGATAGAGCCTCGCATCACCCTCATCGTCCACAGACAGCAGACATCAATGACCTGTCAACACATCAGGCCTCACACACAGTTGAGCATGCACAAACATTCCCATATCTGTCCCCACATAAGTGCACACATTAGTATCGTAGTGCAATAGCCCCTAAGCCCCCATTTGTATGTTTTGGGGGTCCATGTCACTCAATGTTTCTGTTTTTCTTTACAGTGCATCACTAGATGAAGGAAGCAGCTCAGCCTCTGCCTTAAGTGGACAGGTACCAATATACATGTTTACAAGCACACGCAGTCATACACGCCTTCGTTGTATGTAATAATGCATGTAGCCGCATGCTCATTTTGTCTCACCTTGTAAGAAATACTAGCTGGCTTTTCATTTGAAATTTTCTTCTTCAAAACTGGCTTCTTCTTAGTGTGAGATTGACTTATATTATTGTTTTATAGTAGCCCATTCTATCATCCCTTTTATTCCCCAGCCATGTGTGCTCATTTATGTAATATTTTGATTACTAAAGATGCATTCAGTAGTTCTTCTTTAGCTAGCGTTAGCATCGCTGTTTTTCATGTACTTTAAGTATCAACACCAAAATGGTGTTAGACGCTGCACTGCAATCTATTGACGTCGATCAGCATGATTATTTCTAAGTTTGGTCACACATGTCCACTATTAACTAGGAGTTTTCCCTCAATAAACTCCTAATGACTGCTTATTGATAGTAAGTAAGGTAGTTGTTGTAGTGGTTATGTTTGGGTATGGGGTAGGGTTAAGGGCTCTAGAATATGGTCATGCAGAATAAGGAATAAATATGTGTGGTATAAGTATTAATAAACAGCCAATATGCTAGTAATATGCATTGCACGCTAATAAGCAACTAATTAATAGTGAATGTGTACCTAATCTAAAGTGTTACCCACATTTTTTTGTAAATTACACAGTTATTGGTGTGTTTTAGAGAGCTGTCTAACAATAATGAATTCCCTTACCTGTCTAATAAACAGAATCTTGGGCATCACAATTCAGGATTTTCTCCATCAAATATTCCCATCGTGTGTATGTCTTATCAATGTTTGCATACGCTTTCTGTGTTTGTTGGCCTTCGTGTCTTCTGGCTTCAGACCTTTTCTGCTGCTTTGGCGGTACAGGTACTGATTCTCTCGTTGTCTTTGCTGGTTGCACGATAATAAGTGTTTTCGGTAGTCTAATTTTTGCTCTTTGCATCACCAAACAACACTACATTACTAGTGTATCTACAAAGGCAGCAGCCATTGAGCGAGAGGATTCTCACTGACGTTTAGTGAAACCGCAGAACGCGTCATTTCAGCATTGAGCTCGGTGACCCGCACCGTGCATAATTAAAACATTTTATGTAGAAAACTATTATGAGTACAGTCTTCATCTTCATGTTCTAATATCAGTATAGTGCTCTCAGCTTTGTTGAACACATACAACTGTTTACATCCATTTCTAATTCCATTCTTACTCATTCTGTGTTTTTTGTTGTTGTTGTTGTTTTTGTGTGTGTACTTGTATGTGTGCATTTATTTTTTAAGGAGACTGATCTCACTGATGAAGATGCGGCTTTCTCTGAGGTCACTCTTCCTTCATCACATTCTTCCTCCTCATTTATTTCTACCTTTACAGTAAAGGTTCTAATGTCCGAGGTTATTGTAGTAATTTTACTCAGATTTGCACTACTGTTCAAAAGTTTGGGGTCGATATTTTTAAATAAGTGTATGCTTTTATTCAGAAAGAATGTATTAAATTGATCAGTGACAGTAAAGACATTTATAATGCTAAACACTTTTTAAAAATAAATGTTGTTTTTTAACTTTCAATTCACCAAAGAACCTTGAATTCTAAGCAGCACATCTGTTTTCAACATTGATGATAATAATACATGTTTCTTGAGGAGCAAATCAGCATATTAGAATGATTTCTGAAGGATCATGTGACACTGAAGACTAGAGTAATGATGCTGACATCACAGGAATAAATTACATCTTAATATATTCACATAGAAAGAGTTATTGTGAAATATTTTTACAATTTAATATATTATTACTGTTTTTACTGTATTTTTTTTATCAAATAAATGCAGCCTTGGTGAGCATAAGAGACTTCTTTCAAAAACATGTAAAAAAAAAAAAAGGGAAAAAAAGTTACTGACACCAAACATTTGAACAGGAGTGTATATTTCATTACATTTTCTTTACAACATTTTGTTCACCCATTCCTTACATTACAAGCTAAAAAAAATATGCAGTTAAAATGTAACTCCATTTCATAAACACACTTTTGCTGGAAAACAATGGCATAGAATCTCAAACATTGCTAATTGATTTATAGTTTTCAACACAAGCATGATACTTTCATGCTTTTGATCATATATGTCATTTTTGATATTCCAACAAAAACACATCGGTGTTAGCCAACCACATAACATTATCTGTGAATGTCAATGAAGCACTGGCCCAAAAAAGCAGGTTACAGTTTTGCTCTCACACTGGCCTGAGGCCTCTTTATAGTTGAGACCTGTCATTCACTGTAATATTGTGATTTGTCTCTCAGCCTTCTTCCTCTTGCTCGTTTGATGGAAGTTTGAAATCAGAAAGCAGTGACTCAGAGCCAAGATGGCCAGAGGTCCCTCCTGTTCTCAACCAGAATGAGGATCGGAGAAGAAATAAATACCTAAGAAAAGACTACCTGAAGGTACACACCCAAGTACGCACATGTTCTCGGTTTTTCTCATGTACACTCACGCATCCCTCTCTCTCTCTCTCTCTCTCTCTCTCTCTCTCTCTCTCTCTCTCTCTCTCTCTCTCTCTCTCTCTCTCTCTCTCTCTCTCTCTCTCTCTCTCTCTCTCTCTCTCTCTCTCACTCACTTGTTCTGTCAAAGAAACACACACACACATTTTAACACTTCATGCCACTTGTTGTAAAATTGCTTGAATTGGTCAGTTTGGGAGTTTTTTTTTTTTTTTTTGTGCTGTGTTGACACTTGATATGACAGAATCACCACTAGTTAGAATACCCCCAGCCTCAGTCCCTGGTATCTTGATATCTTGCCCCAGATGTTGTTAAAATGCCTGACTAATTCCTTTACGTCTGTCCTTATCTAAAACATGGTGATTCAGGATGCGAGAAGATTATTCTTTTGAGGTGCTTTAGAAACACTGCATTGTGAGTTTAGCATCAGTTCCTAGTCCTGTGCATATTGTTCAAATCTTGCCTTGTGATCTTGCTAATAATTAGCTGTAATTGTTATACATTAAAAAGGGACAAAATTCTAGACCACTCCGTAAAATTGTTTTATTTCAATGTACCTTGCTGCTTTCACTTCGTATAGTCTCAGAGTTGCTAGATTTGCCTGAATTTCTACATAAATTGATCTTAACATTTAAAAACTATGGCACCATAATAGATAAACACAGTCTGCTTGAACAAATAGCACACCAAGGCGTTTTCACACCTGAAAGTCCAAACCAAAGTTCATGTTTTGATACATTTTATACATTCGGTAAGTTTTGGTTTGGTTTCACATTGCAATTATGCGAGCGCACTAAAGAACTTTACATGACATACTTGCGTCCTGTCGTTATCATCTATGTGGGCTGCATCTTGACATTGATTGGTTTGAAAACGGACATGCGTCTGACGTCAGCGTGTTGTCAATTCGGCGGGTAACTTTGACGAGAATGAATGAACAGACGCATATCGTTGCCACTATACTGTTATTATTACGGCATTACTACCTGCAGCACCAACTATACTTGAGGCTAGTAAATTCGCCAAATGAACGTCCTTGTTGTGCGATCATTTTATTGTCGGAGAAGACTGCAAGCTATCCTGCGAGAACCACCGGAACTTCCTGTAAATGGTCCTGAAAGTCCGATCCATACAGAAAATGCGTTCACACTAGAAACTAACCAAACCTTTGTTCAGTTTGATCCGGGCCGAGACTACCTCTTTTCGTCCGACCAAATTTTGGTTTGGTTCGTCTGTTTGGAGGTTTCACACCTGTAATTTTGATTCGGATCAAACTGAAAAGTCCGAAAATCCAGACCAAACAAGGTAGGTGTGAAAGGGCCCTTATACACAACATATATGACTATTTTACAGTTTCTTTTTATTTCCAGACCATTAGTAGTATATTCTGGCACCTTTCCTGTTTGGGCCAGCCATCATTTTGGGTGGGCCAGTGCCACCCTAGCCCTTATGTGGCCTTGCCACTGGTGCATGGTGGAATACATGTGAATTCCTAAGCTAGTGACCTCCATGAAAGATGCTGATAATCTCACATAACCTGGATCCCTGTCAATTAGACGAGATTGGCAGTGTTGCCCCAAACCTTACACTATAAAATCACATATTTCGAGTGTCAACTGACTAAGTCATAAATCTCTGGAGCATGTGAACATCTCTGTTGATGTGTCTATGATGCTTTAAACATTCTGTAGACAGATGAAACTAAAGTTAAAAACACAACATAATGTGTGACAGAACACCAACATCAAAGCCTGGTCCCATCTTACGTCAAATGAGATGCTTTGGCACAAACTCAAGAGATTGATTAACAGCAGACCGACTCAAACTGAAAGAGTTTTGTGAAGAGGGGTGGCTGCTTCTGATCGTTGTACACATCTGATCCACAATTACAGGAAACATTTTGTGGAGGATATTTCTGGCAAAAGACCTTTACAGACTTTTTTCCATCCTGCACGGTGACTGTTTACACGTTTCACACTGCACTTTACTCCTGGCCGCTTTCAACCCTGGGTAGAGGAACGTTTTACATTTGTAATTTAGAAGTGGGGTTAGCACACTTTTTACCCCACATTGCAGTGCCAAACCTGTACAGTGTGAAACGATGCGGTGTTATAATGTTACTACTAGATGCTTAGCAAACGACAACTAATAGTGTGCCTCATATTCAAGAGCTTTGGACAGTCACAGAAACACAACATGTTGTATAAACAGTAGTTTCAGCGTTTGAGGGAAAAACTGTCAAATGGTTACCGAAAACAAATTGGATTGAAGAATAGACCGTTTCATTCTTACCTTTATAGTCTAAAAAGTATATTTTGGATTACCTTGATTGTACTGTCGGCAATATATAATATTAATTGTTAATCCCAGGTAAATAATGAGCAATGTGAAACGTGAAGGAAGATAACCCAGGATCCCATTTACCCGGGATTTAGAATGACCCAGGATGAACTATTTCAAGTGTGAAAAAAGCCCTAGTGTGTTCAATAAAAATATGAAAACATATAATTGTTTCTGTGTTATTTGAAGTCCTATTCGGATGGGATTCATTTTACAAGAGTAGATGGAGTAATGAAATTTTACCACAGGATGTCTGTAATATAAATGGCCAATTTGCACGGGCTAATAAATCTCAGTAAAATTACCAGAAGTGGGAGGGATAACTATTTATGCACCGCTGTCACCTGGACACACTATATATTAATTCATTTCTGATTGGGGAAGAGGCTCTTACCTAAAACTAAAAGAAGTGCTTTCGACCTTCTTTTTGATCAGAATAGTAGCCTATGCGGAAACCACTTGAGTTTTGCCACAGACTTGTCCCACCGCCTAGAACGCAACTGAATGCTTGCGTTCATACTTGAAAAACTGTGGAAATGACAGAATATTTATGTGCGCATTTACGGCTGGTCTATTCGCACGGGATTATCATAACATTGTCTGTAATGATTACTGAGATGGCACATTCGGACGGGACTAAAACGGGACATTGTTTTGCTTCCTTGGACTGTAACTTCCTTCCCCTAACTGTAACTGAGAGAACAAATGAGAGTCCTTGGAGGATCTGTTTGGTTTGAGTTATTATGGATACATTTGCATTAGCGTTTAATGCTCTCTTTTACTTTTAAAGTGGTTTCTTACCACTGCTATATACAGACACTATGGTATGACAAAAAGAACATTAGGTTACACTTTATATTAAAGGGGTACTTCACCGCTGGTAAATGGGCTTTCAATAAAAATTGGCTGCCTATATCCACCTTATTTTTCAACGCGGAATTAAGGTGTAGCCTATTCTGTGAATGCGAGACTTCCGATTTATTAGCCGCAGAGTTTGAAATTACCCAGCTAACAATTTTACGTTCTGGGAGCGTTAGTAAACTAATACTCCCTATTGGTTATCCAGGAAAGTTTTCTTAACGTAAATAGAACGTTCCCTTAAGGTTAGGGGGACGTTCCGGGAACCTACTGCGCATATCTGGTTTACTTGAATATGCACGCCACAACGCAACAAATAATGGCGGGATTTGAAAAAACATGTCAACCTATGTCTGTCAACCTAAAACCTATTTTTGGTGATGAGGATGGAAGAGGAAGGGAGGATGGAAGAGGAAGGGAGGAGATGGCTGGATGACAGGATTTAGTTTGAATAAGAAATGAATGTATGAAATCCAAATTTTATATTAGCCTTTATACACACACACACACACACACACACACTCTCACAGACACACACACACATATATACATATATATATATATATATATATGTAAACATAGTTATTAACGTAGTTAATCTGGTTAATTTCTTCTGGTTTTTTTTTTGTTGTTGTTGTTTTTTGGCTAGTAGAAGTTCTGAATGGCCGGTAACTTAAAAATTTAGTAGCCAAATTGGCCGGTGAGTGTTAGTTAATTTCAAACCCTACCGCTAGTGCTGGGCGGTATGACCAAAAATTTATATCACGGTATTTTTCAAAATTATACCGTTTCACAGTATATGACGGTATTTATTTGTTCTCAAGCATGACTGGGTGTTAACCACATTTTCTACTGATTGAGAGAGGAAATACTGCAGTAGATTGACTTAGAATGCCCTATTTTATGGTGCGTTCAAGTCATCTCGTAAATATCGTATATTAAACTAATTTCCTGCATAGAATATGATGGCATTATAATATAAAAATGTAATATGTTATGATAAAGTTTGCAGTGGCTCCATAAATTAATTAAAAACATAAAAAAGCAAAGCACACCTGATGCACATTTCTTTCCCAGGTAACGGCTGTACACAAAGCAGCAGCTCTCATAAACGCTGCTTTATCAGGAAAGATAAAGATTAAATGAAAATAACATCTAAACTTTTCTAAAGACAGTCAGTTCCCTTCAAAGATATATAAATATTCATATAAAAACACCCACGCTGCGTTTTGACTTTGAAACGTGTCAATGTTTATTCAACGATGTCAAAGCCTTTTAGAAAATCTGTTTGTGGCGGGCAGTGTTGATATTGTGAACCAATGTATGGGAAACACTGTAATATAATTTGACTGCTAGTATCAATTATAGTTATAACGGCCCCCTGAAATCAAAATGTAAGTTTTTTAGCTTTTAGTAGGCTATGAATATGTTAGCCATAATGTCATGAATAAGCTTGTGTGTTCCAAACCATTGACAAAATTCGTATTTAGCATTCAAAACGTACAGTCCCTCACTTCCACTAAAATGCATCACGGATTTTTATGACGTCACCGCAGACTTCAGCTTCTCATCACATCTTCTGTCCAATCAAATGCTCTCTAGAATCTAAAGCGTCCCGCCCCCTATGCTATAAATACCACCTGGTCAAAGCGACGCAATATGGGTTTTTGCCAGGGTCGATATTGTCCACACCACTTTTTGAAATAACTCGCGGCACGGATGTACCTAATACACATCTCCAGTTA